CCCCAGGGGCGCGCCTCGCCATCCGGGACCCGGCGGGCAGCGGTGATGAGCCGATGAGACAACACGGGACGTGGCCAAGTCCGAGCTCTGCGGGGAGCCCGGCACGGGGAGGCGCCGGGCCTCCGCGGGACCCTCACCACGCTCTGCAACAGGGACAGGCGCGCCAGCTCGGCAGGCCTGCTCCCCACCGCTCACGCCCCCCAGCTCCCCACACTCTGGCTGTGGGGCCTTAGGCTGCTTCCGCCATGCTGCGGTGACGGACCACGCGGCTCAAGTCCAAAATGTGAACCCGTGACCCCGCAGAGATGGCCTGCTGACCGGCTCTGCAAGCCCTCGAGGTCCCGCGCCACTCCCCGTTCGCGTCTTCAAGACGCTCCGAGGGGTGGGTGGGCCAGGTAGCCACAGCTGTCGCACTGGGTGGCTTGCCACCACCCCTGGGGCCCCCCAAGACTGCTAACTGGACTCCTGCCTGGCAGCGTCACCTCACGCCCCGGACGAGCTGCGTTTCCTGGCCTCTCTGACTGCACACAGGAACAAGAAGCGGTGTGTGAGCCTCTGTCCTCTTCCTCTGGAGGACTGGAATGCAGACGTGACGGGAGGAGCTGGGCAACCATCTTGGGCTCAGAGATAAAAGTACGTGTACCCTCTGGGTGGCCTAGACCTTTCATTTTTCACATAAACTGTCTAATCCACCTAATTTAAGTCAGTGCACTCTGGACCTCTGTAACGGGGCTAACTTTGCATTCCACCTTATAGTTCTGCCTCCAAAATGTTTCCACTTCTCCGGCTGCTAGAACGGATGAAAATCCCGATTCTCCCCCGGGGAGTGCTGAGGCGGAGGAAGGCCCTGTGGGAACGATGGCCCGAGTCCGGGAAGCCTGGAGCCCCAGCCCGCGCTGCCGTGTCCTCCCTGGGTCATTCTGGGCAAGCGTCCTTGTCCCAGGGTTTGGTCTCCTGTTCTTCACCCACTGCCCACAGGCCCCCCAAAATCCAAGTCCCTCACAGAGCAAAATGCTGAGAACCTGCCAGAGAAGCCGCTCCCAGAGGAGGGCCTGGCGCAGCGCCCAGACACCCAGCCAAGCCCACCTCCCCAGGCCGCCTCACCCCCGGCCCCTGACCAGGGTGGATGTGCACCGCGCAGGCCCCGGTGAGGGCCAGGGCCTGGCCCTCCACCGCTGGCCAGGGACCAGACACGACAAGCCCGGGCCGGGCTCCGGGGCGGAAGGCCAGAGTCCTCCTGCGGCAAGACAGAGGCGTGAGGGCGCCCGAGTCCACTGCTTCTGCTGACTTAGCAGCGCTGCCTGGCACGCAGGGCAACGGGGCGCAAGGCGTAGAAGCAGGGGCTCCCCAGGGGGCGGAGGCGGCCCCGTCCCTCTGAACGGGACCTCGCCTGGGCAGGCAGCCACCACCGCAGGGGCCGGGCACAGGGCTGGGAGCGGCTCGGCACCCCAGGAGCAGGGCGTGGGGCGCGCAGGCTGCACCCGCAGGTGCCACCTCCAAAGTGCAAGGCCTTCCTGCGCGGCGGGCGGGCGGGGGCCGAGCCGGCCTTCCGCAGAAACCTGCCCCGGGAGGCTGAGGTGCGGGTGGCACGGGCTACGCCGCCTGTCATGACCAGTTCTGGGCCACGGGCCACTCTGGAAATGCCCGGCCCAGGCTTCTACCGGGAGGGTGGCCGAGGAGGCCCGCTGCTCCCCTTCCCAGCGTGTCCTCAGACCACCCCACACTGCCCTGGCTGCAGACTCGCCATGAGCGGGGGTGGGGTGGGGCGCAAACCACGGCACTGGGAGCAGGGGCGCCCTGATGGGCTGGGCGCGAGCCCGGGCTAGCTTTGGCCAGGCGGGGGAAGCCCCGGGCCCCACCCAAGGTGGCCTCACTCCTGCCCACCCGATGGTGGGGGCCCCGGGAGGAGGGGGCCAGCAGAGCCCTGAGCGGCGCCAAGGACCCCCGTCACCACGCCCACAGGCCCAGTTTCTCGCCAGCCCTCGCTCTGGGGCCGACAAAGCCGAGTCCAGATTTTCGCAGGTGAGTGAAATTTCCTGTTTATATGGAAAGTGCTGGCACTTTTGGTGCGCGAGACACTGTGGCCAGCCAAGTACGCCCACAGGTCACGAGCAAGGCCACAGCACCTAGACTTATGTGACGTCATGGCAGTCAGGGGCCGGTCACCGGCTGGCCACCAGCACCCCTCAGTCAGCGACTCCACAGCCTGACAAGGCCCCGGCCACGCCCCGCTGCCAGGGCAGCCGCCGGCAAGGCAGCCCACAGCCGCGGACGGCGGAGGCCGGAGGCCAGTGACAGGGCGGCAGGCCAGGGCAGCCGCGCCAGCGCAAGGCTCCAGGCCCCGGGACTGCGGGCCCGTGGCTGGGCCACCGCTGCCCGGGGGGCACCGGGCAGGGCAGGCAAAGAGGTGCAGACGCAGACTGGGGTTCTCGGGCCTCAGGCCCAGGGATGCGGGTGGGGGCTGATCCCCGGCACCCTCCGAAGACGACATAGGGCCCGAGGGGTGGACTGGACAGGAGGCTGGCCCCACTGCGTGACGCCAGCTCTGGGCCTCCCAACTGATCAGTGAGGACACGGTGCCATGTCCACAGGTCACCGGGGTCAGGTTCACGGACAAAAGACGCCGGCGGGCGCTCAGGGAGGTCGCGGCTCTTGGAGGGGGACAGGGTCTGGCCGCAGGCCCCCCGGAGATGGGAGCGGCAGCTTAGCAAGGGCGCGGGGTCACCCCATGCTGCGCCTCACCTCAGAGGCCCCTGGGTGGGGGCGCAGGGGCGGCCGTGTGGCCGGGGCCGCAGGGTCCCGCTTCCTGTCCCCAGTGCGGGGTGATGCCTCAGCCCTGCCCGCGGCCGCCACACACAGGTAGTTCCAGCAGCTGGGGAAAAAGCTACTCACACATTCCCAAAGCTTCCAGAACGTGAACAATAGAGGGCTGTCTCCAGTCAGCGCTCGCTTCCTGCCATTCAGGCTGCGTGGCCGGCTCTCGCCACACACAGCTCCACGTGCGGGCCGGGAGAAAGGGGTGCGGGGGAGCCAAACTGTGGAGCTGGGAGTGTCCACCAGCCTGGCCGGCCCCCTCACCCCGCATCCCCAGGGAAGCGCTTGTCTGGGGCGCCCCGCGGGGCACCTGCCGTCTGCACCTGCATCTTCACCCAACAGAAGCCGACTGGGAAGTTTCTGCACCAAGGTGACGGCAGTTTTACTCAAAACATGCTCCAGACCTGAGACGCACTGCGGCGCAGGGCCCCGGCGAGAGCGGGCGAGGCGAGAGCCCCAAGCCCCGCCCGCGAGCGCTGCCAGGGCCGCAGACCAGCCTGGCGGGGCGGGCCGCAGCCGCAACCCTCGAGGGGCAGATGCCAGGCCAGGGGTTGTCTGGGGTGCGGAGAGGCCGCGAAGGGCGCAGGGACCGGGGGCTTGTGGAAAGACCAGGCTGGCCACGTGACCCCGAACCAGCAAACCTGTCAAGTACCAAGCTCTCCACAAATCCGACCCAAAAGCAAGCACCAGGGACGGTGGAGGGCGGGCCGGGCAGAAGGCTCTAGAACCAGGCCACACTCGCATCCCCAGCTCTTCCCGCCAAGCAGCTGGGACCCCGGCAGCCACCCGCCCTCGCGAGGACCGCGAGGACGGGGCTCCGCAGCGCCCCGTAAATGTTTGCTAATGTTTACTCTGAGGCTGCACTGTGAGCTCGAGAAGCCCCGCTCCTGACGGGTGCTGGGCACGGACTGCTCCTAAGGCGCGAAGAATGCCGCGTACCCCCAAATAGAAACCGAACATTTGCAGGCACTCGGGCCAGCTGCTCCCCAGCCGGCCGCACAGCCGGGAACAGACGCGAGAGCAGCGCGGGCTGGTACCACCCCTCCCGCGGGCACAGCGCCCACGGCCCTGGCGCGGCCCGCACATTGCGGTCAAGGGCTCCCGCCGAAGCCTGTCGGGCTGCATGAGGTGGGAGCGGGGAGGGCTGAGGGGCTGCCGCGCCGCCCGGGGAGGTCAGGGAGGCTGAGGGGAAGCCCGGCCGAGTCAGCGCTTCCCAGTCTAAAGCCTCCTCGGCTGTTTCTCAGAAAAAGGACTTCTTCGTCCGGGTCTGGGAATCCCTGGACTTTTAGGGGTCTGCACCCGTGACCAGCGGACGCTGGCTGAGCTCAGGGGCACCAGCGCGAGCCCGGCCAGCGCACACAGGACTGAGGCGCCGCCACTCTGGCTGCCCGGCGCGGCCCCTGCTTCGTCTGTGCTGTGGGCGCTGGGACCAGGCTGCTCGGCCCGGTGGGCAGCCGGAGCTGCTGAGGGCCAGTGGGAACCTGGCCCGGAGGGCACCGCAGAAGGCAGCTGGCACGAGAAGGGGCATCTGTGGGTCAGGGGCTGCCGGTCTGGATGGGACGCCCCACTCAACTCCTAAGGAGCAGGACGGTACCCTGGGAATGAGAACCCAGGGACTAGCCCGCCCTGCAGGACCTGGGGCAGGCCGAGAGGCAGGACGCCCTGCGACTGCGGGGCCCGGGCACAGCCCTGCGCAGAAACCTGCGGGGCCGAGGCCAGCACGCCCTCTCAGCACCCCACAGTGGAGCCCAGGCCCCCAGATTGAGTCCGGGCGCCAACACACGCCAGCCCACGCGCCCCGGGGAGCAGCAGCTCCCTCCCGGCAGCGGCCAGCACAGGCCAGGAGAGAAACTGGCCCGCTCTCTGCTCTCCCAGCTCAAACACCCCCTTGCTGCTGCAGCTCCCGAGGGCGCGCCAAGGCGCCAAGGGTGCAGTCAGCTCAGTCACGTCGCACGGGCGGCCCGGGCTGGGTCTGCCGGCGCAGGCCCCACTGTGACCGCGCAGGAGACCCCACTGGGCGGCGGCAGCACCGGCCCTGCCGGGCCCAGGGGCCCTTTGGAATGCCCCTTATCAGCCACTCGGGCTCAGGGGTGGACGCTGTCCCCTTCCTCTGCTGACACAGGAGAACGTTATCTCGAGTCACTCGGGAGATTAGCAGAGGGGCAGCGCGGCCCGACACCCCAGAGCCCCCTTGGCTTCTTCGGGCCGTGGCAGGGGTGACACACCAAGCCCGGGCTGGTCTCCAAGCACCACGGCCTCACGGTCCTCCCTCACCTGGGCATGGTCCTCCCAGGCCCTCCCTCTGCACACGGGCAGCCTGGGTGGGGGAGGGTGGAACAGTGTAATTAGCAACTGGAGTGGCCGTGTGGCCCCCAGAAGGACGGGGCTCCGCTGACCACGGAGCACGGGCGCCTGCCGAGACCCAGGGCCGCAGCCGGCCCTGTCTCTCTGGGAGGGAAACACCTGTTTTCCACGCCCTCCACAAGGGAGCTGGGAGGGGACTGGAGCTGACTTCCCTTCCTCTCTGCACACAGAAGACCTGGGCGTGGTGGCAGGTGGGGCCTCCTAGCAGGAGAGGCCACCCTCGCTCTCAGCCTGCGAAGCCCGAAGCACAGGCTGAGGCCTGAGGAGCACAGGGTTAGGTCACCCACTCACTGCCTGGTGGAGCATGCTGCCTGTGAGCCGCCCTCTAGGAGATATGTGGTCCCCAGCACAGAAGGTCCATCCCAGAAGCGCAGCTCTGAAGGCCACGCTGAAGGCAGCGCTCTGGGATAAGCCTCTTCTGGCCACTTGTCCCTAGTTGGGAGGTGTGGGGTGCGGGTGTCTGATGACAGACCCAGAAGGTCCCGGCCCACCCCTGCAGCTCAGGCATCTGGGAAGGTAACTCCAGGAGCTTCAAAGCAAGTCCATTCAGAACAGCTCAGCCCTGGAGAGAGTGATTAAAAGTCCCCCTTTGTCGTCTAAGCATAACTTACTCAAAATTTTGGACTTGCTTTGGCAAAAGACAAGACTTTGTAAAAACAGGTTAGAATAATAATAATAATGAAGAAAAACTGGCCCTGGGCCTCCCTAGTGGCACAAGGGTTAAAGCTCAGCCCTGTGAAGCTGTCGGCAGCCGCTGCAGTACGAGTTCGATTCCCGGCCAGGGAGGGACCCCCAGGGTGCAGCAGACCCCTCCTGTCTCCCCGCTGCCCCCTCAGCTGTGTGTTTCAGTGCATCTGCCTGTCCTGCTCCCCAGTCTCTGGGGAAGCTTCTCATCTCCTGTACCTCTGGCCTGTACCCCAGAGTTCTTTATGCAAATATAAACAAATCTTAAAGAGAAAACTGGCCCTGACCTTTTAGAAGGGGCCCCCAATCTGCTCCTGGGCTCCTCACAGTGGGAGAACGAAAAGGTTTAAACCTGACAGGGAGGCAGAGGGTGAAGGGCTGAAGGCCAGACCTGCGGGGCCACGGCCAGGAAGGGGAACGCGAGGTGCCCCAGCACCAACAACACGCCCCACTCAAGGCCAGGGCAAGCCAGGGGTCCCAAACCTCAGTCCGCGGCTTCAAGGCCTGACCAGAGCCGGGGTCCCGGGGGGCTGGTGCAGGGAAGACCTCCAGTGAAGGGGGTCACAGACACCGTCCCCTCCTCCAGCCTGAGTGTGATCCTACTCCACTGTACCTGGGGACGCTGCCGAGGGTGCGGTCAGCGTCACCCCCTCCCCCGTCCCAGAAAGCGTTTGGGCCTCAAGGCTCCACTCCCTTCTGCAAAAAGCAGAAAAGTAACCCAGCTCAGGCTTATCCAGGCCAGACTTCAGAGAGAGGGGGCCGTCTGTGCCACCGGTCCTGGCCGGGCACTGACAGCTGGTGCCAGGCACACGGCCGGACACTGCCGAGGACTAGTGATCAGGCGACTCAAGCCCATTGCCACCAGGCCTGACACATCAGACGGGCGTCTGCTGGCTTCCCCTTTCTGCCTGACGCGCTCGAGCCGAATGCTTCTCTCCAGGCCGCCGTGAGGGTGCACGAGCTGGGCACGGGCTTGGGAGGTGACTTTTAAACAAGAGCTAGGGCGAGTGAGCCCCAGGGCGTCCAGGCAGCGGCCAGCACTTCAGCACACCGAAGAGCCTGGAGCCCTCATGCCACTGTGGTGACCCGCTGCAGCCCCACGGCCCCACCCCTGCCCGGTCCTCCTTTCCAGCCCGCCCCAGGGGCTGGGAAGCGCACAAGCCACGTGAGACTGGCCAAGGCCCACCTGCCACGGTACCTCAGCTGGGGAAGCAGCCCCTGGCCTGGGGGAGACCCAAGGGCCCCGGCACAGCGATGACAGTGGCCGCCGGGGACACGGCCCTCTGCCCAGGGCGCCCTGGCCTGCTTACCTCGGCTGATGCGCTGCTTCTCCCCAGACAGGATCCCGGGGGTGTCGATGATGCTGATGCTGTCCAGGACCGGGTTGGGCAGCTGGGCGCACATGAACCTGTGTGGGCGGGGCGGAGGTCAGGGCTCGCTCGGCGAGAGCAAGGCGCTCTCCTTGCTCTCGGGGCGCTGCCCAGCCTGCTGTACCTATTTTCTTGACCGGGAAGCCAACCGAAGGTGCAAACCCAGCCGCGCCCGCACTGCCCTTGCCCGCTGCCCTCCGGAGGCTGAGGCGCGCCAGGTCGCGGGCTCCAGAGGCTGCAGGTGTCTAGGTCACCAGCTCAGCCCCAGGAGGGAAACAGGTGACCTGGGGCTTTGGAATTCCACATTCGGTCGACCCACACCGGGAGACCGTCTTCCCCACCGCGTCCCGCCCCCGGCTGCCGTGGGCCTGGCACCGGACTGGGTGTCAGTGAAGTCCCCAGGGGACAGACACCACTTCCTGGCGTCCAGGCCGCCAGAGGAGCACGTAGCCGTGGAGGGGCCGCAGCCCAGCGGCAAGGGCCTGGTCGCGGGCCTAAGTCCCTGCTGGGCTGAGAACAGCCCAGAAGAGCACGGGGGCTGTCCCCGCTGGGAGCCTGAGAGCGAGCTGCTTTATTTGAAAGAAAAAAGAATTCTTTAAAAACTCTGAAAAAGGTATTGTGAGCAAAGAAAATACTGACCCATTGTCTGTGGGACACGGGCTGCCGTTCCCACAGGGGGAGGGGCTGGTGCCACTGGCCCCTCCTTGTGCCCCCACCGCCCCAAGTGACCAGCGGCCCAGAGACAGTGGGCAGCTGGCCAGGGTGAGAGGTGCTGCCTACAAGTGCAATGGAGCAAAACCCGCTGACCAGCAGGTAACTGACCCTGGACCCGCCTCATCAGTGCCAGAGGCAGAGTGGGCGTGTCACACCTGGGGCTCCTGCTTGGGACAGTCACTGGAGAGGAGACCAGGGACAGGATCTGGAGCCTGGGAAGTAACACATCTGTGAGTGCCTCACGGGAGGCCTAGCACAGGCAGATAACATCTGTCCACTCTGCATGGCCCTGGGGCAGGCGGGACTCAAGAAAGCCTGCAGCATCTCATCCCTCCCCAGCAAGGGCAGATTACACCTCGGGGGTGGGCCGGGCCGCCCACAATGGCCCTGCAGACCCGCTGGTCTGCGCCTAACCTTCCCCATCTGACATCAGCCTTGGAGCAGCCACTTAGGGGGGGTGGCTGGAAAATCAAGTTCATGACTCAAAGGGTCTCTTTAAGTGCACCCCAGGCTCTGGGAGAGGCCCTGTCGGCCAAAGATGGGGCCCCTTTGTACGACACAGGCCGTCACCCTCCGCTGATAAGGCCCCTTTTGGCAAGGCCGTAACCGTTTGGGGACCCTGTGGAGACCAGGCGCTGGCAAAGAAATGAAAGCATCGTCTTGGGGTCCGAGGCACTGACACCATCTTGGAGCCCACTTTTCCAAAGGGCCCTCTCGAGGTGGCACCAGCAGCACCAGGCGCGCCCAGCCGCCAGTGCCCTGTTGACCTGACACACGGGGCCTCTGGGCTGTGGGCTCCTGGGCAGCAAGGTGGCGGCTGCCTTTCCAGAGGTTAAGGTCCTTTCCGCGCTGAGATGGGCGGGCTCCCTCGCTGGCCTGCTCTCCCAGCAGAGGGAGACCTAGGGGTGGCAGAGCTGGGGGCAGCTGCCCTTCCTTCCCGGAGTTCCCAGGGCTAGGAGGGGCCTGGTCATGCTTGGAATTCCCAGCACAGCAGGCCAACTTTCCACTGGATCAGATGGCTCCCACCAGCTCGGGCTGGAGCCAAGGGCCTATCAACAGGCACAAAAATCCTAAAACACAAGTAACTCCCAGGAAGGCTCCAGGCCCCGGGGCCACGCCCCCTGCGGGGCCTGAGCCAAAGGACTTTGCCGCACAGCGCTGCACAGTCTCAAACAGGACAACAGGCCCGGCAGCTGCCGGGGGCCAGAAACAGCCTCAGCGGCCTTCTGTGTGAAAGGTCAGCTCTGTGCCGGAGGTGGGAGGTGGGCCTGGCCGTGGCCTGGGCCAGGGCTGGCTGGTCTGCCCTGTGGGGCAGGACAGTGTCTGGGAGGAATGTGAGCACACAGGGCGGGGACCTAGCGGGGCTCTCCCCCCACCCCAGGCGTCAGGCAGGAGGGGCCACGCTGTGAGTGGGGTGCACAGAGGGCAGCAGAGGTGCTCCCTGAGTCTCCTGGACTGGGGTGGGGACCACCAGAGTTCCCAGGAAAGCAGCTGCATTCCTTAGCCAGGGTGTTGGCTTCATGTACAACATCCCGGGACCACAGTGGGGCGTCACCCTCAGCAAGAGGCGGCAGGAGTCACCGTGAACTGGGGAAACCAAGACCGCAGGAGGTTAAGGAACCTCCTGTAAGTCTACCAAGGGGCCTGAGCTGCTTCCTGTAACCTCTGCTGCATCCAGACCTGCGCAGCGGGGGGCAAGGGTTCACCCAGCCTTGCAGACCACAGCCTATCCTTACCACCCCTCCCACACAAAGCCACCACCCCAAGGGAGGCACAGACACCACCCCAGCGCAGGGAACGGCTGAAAGTTTCACCGTATTTTCCCATGACACTTAAGAAACAGTTACTGGCAGGAGGGAGGGGGCAGAGGGTTGCTGTGAATGAAATAAGTATGTCCAGGCTAGGGGGGCCAAGAACTGCGGGGGGGGGGTGCGGGGGGGATAGGTGACCAAGAAAGGGAGGGCTCCTGGGATCTGGGGGTGAGTGTGGGAGTTAAACCGATAACCTGGAAAATTCTGGGGGTGACAGAGCCGGGGCGGCGGAGACGCCCACTCCCAGTCTCCGGGGGGGTCTTCTGTGGGAAGCGGCGGGGCCCCTGTCCCAAGGAGCGGTCGCCGAGGGTCTGCTGCGGGGGAGACAAAGGCCGCGGGGGTGGCGGCCGCAGCGGGCTGGCGACCGGGGTGCGGGGTGGGGGCCCCCGGGGCGAGGGGCGCGTACCTATTGAGGAAGGCGTTGCCGAAGGCGTTGAGCTTGCGGAAGGGGCGCCGCGGGTCCACGACCAGCGCGTTGCCGGGCACCACGCCCTCGGTGGGACCGTGCATGACGGCGATGAAGGAGTCGGTGGTGGGCTCGGGCCCGATGCGCATCCCCGGGAAGTCCTGCTCGATCAGGTGCCGGATGAAGGTGGTCTTGCCCGTGCTGTACTGGCCCACGAGCAGCACCATGGGCTTGTTGTCGAAGTCAGCGTCCTCCAGCGCGGGCGAGTGGAACTCGTGGAAGCGGTAGTGCTCCTCCAGCGGCAGCAGCTTCTGCGCGTACAGCTGCCGCAGCCCGTCGGCCACCGTCTGGAAGAGCTCCGGCTCCTTCTTGCGGCGCGCATCCTTGCTGACCCAGCTGAACATGCTGCCGGAGACGGGGCTGGCTGCTGCGGGGTAGAGCGGCTGAGAGCCGGGCGAGGCGCGGAGCCGAGGCGGGGCCCGGCGGC